CGGGGTGGAGGGGTGACCCCCGGCCCCCCCGCCCCAGGTGCGGGCGGGGGCGGGGGGGCAATAACGCTGCGCATGCTGTTCTCCCGGCGGCGTTCCGTTTTTAAGCTCCTTTTCTATCACGTTAGCCCTCTTCTTCCGTGAAGTTGTCTTGGGTAACTAAAGAACGAAAAACTTAAGTGATAGCCTCCCAAAATAAATGGAAAAAATGCTACGCTTGTGATTATTGTTATTATTTTGCTATGGGGTGGGACAGAGGAAACAGTTACCTGTGTGTTTAATAAGATCTGTTGCTATGTCCTTCCTGTTTGACAAGTCTTAATTTATGTTGATACGGTGGCAGGCCCTGGTCCTGCAATTTGTTGGGTGTGGACAGGCTGATGTGCATCAGTGGAAGTCCCGGGGAAGGTCTGGTTTTGAATCTAGTGTCTCAGTGCAAAATTTTTTACAGAGTTGAAGCCAGACTGAAATCAAGAGAGGAGATCTCTTATTAAGTGTTTTACTGCTCATTATTAAACTTTGTTTTCTCAGTGGATGGATGAGGATGAGTATCTAAAACTTGACTTTTTAATGTAAGGCATCACAGCGATGGTTTTGAAGAGAAGCAAATGCTATGGAGAGAACGTTTATAGGACTAGTTATAAACAAAAAGCCCAAACCTTTAATAAACAACAAAACCCGCCAAACCTACCAAAACTTGCTGTTGCTTGTGATCCCAAGCAGTAAGAACATGGAAATGGCTGGGTCGTTGGTGTTCTGACAGCAATTTTAGAGTATTTATAAGTGACAGAGTTAAATTGCAGAAATTTCGATGATGCTATGATGCTGCCTCGTGTGGGGCTAAATCAATGGTAGGAGTACTGTAGCAGTACTTTCTGAAAAGTTTCAGGAACTGGCCTAATTCCATACACTGGAGGGCACGCATAGGTACGCCAGCTCTATGAGTGATCGTGAACGTGTCTGGTACCATTTGGATACACACTCATCTCCATAAAACTAGGCTGCTTCGGTGTAGACATAGAGAAGGCCCTTTAACGTGATTTGGTTACTGCAGTTTCTGTGCTAGATTCACATTAGACTTCTATGTTTGTTGATTTGTGCAGTCCTCCTGTAGTTTTGCTTAAAAATTAAACACATTTTGATAACTCAAATGTAGGACTAAAATGCATGACTAAAAACTAAAAGTCCAACCCCCCCTTTTTTTTCCCCCTGACACCTCCATCTCTTTTGTAGAAGTGGTAACTCTTTACTGTGAGTGATTTTAAAGGTCACTTTCATGTAATCTGATTAAATGACAAAATAGATGTTTTCGCTTATAAATCTTTGGGTCTAGATCTGCCTGTTTGTTGTATTTGGGAACAGATTAAATCTTTGATAAGGCTGACAGCTTGAAGTAGCATGTATAATCTGTGTATGTCCAAGAAACTTTTCTCTGAAAACATTAGGGAAAAAAGAGAAACGTCACTTATTGGTGTTGCTACCACAGCACTTGGAAATTAATGTCCATTTATTTTTAGCAGTCTTTTTTAGTGCTGCTTTATCATGCTTTGTCAATTGCCAATTTTATTTTCTGTAAATCTGGCTCTTTGAGCAAGTGGTTTATGATGACACACAGCTCTTATGCTAAATAAGTTTAGTTTGTTCAGTTATTCCGTTCTGTCAATGTATGTATCAGTTGTTTGGGACGGGGAATCTGATACAAGTTCTAAACAGAACAGTTGAAACTTGAGATTTACAAAAGTTGGTCTTATTATAACGTCCGATAAATGAGTAGTGATCCATGGGTTCAAGCATGGTTGTCCGTTTGGCCTTCTCAATATTTGTCACGGAGTATGTTTTCTGTGAATCGGAGCTCAGTCTGTAAGGTTTGGTGACTTCGTAGCTGGCACCTGCAAATCAATCAAGAGTGTATGTGTTACTGAGTGATCATACAAATTAGTTTTGACTTTACTTTATTTGAAAAAAGACAAGATTGTTTAACGGCATGATCAATACCACCAGGTGGTGTGAATATAAATAAAATGGAAAAATAAAGCGAGAACTGACAGAATTCAGCCATCATAGATTTGGAATGTTCTTTAAAGCTCATTATCCATTAGCCTAAATAATTTAAATGTTTTTAATGTTAGCTTATGCCATGTGGTGTTGAAGTTGAAAGGCTTTCCTAGGTTATCCAACACTTACTGTGCAGAGTAGCCTCTACAAGTCTAAAGAAATTATTGTAATTTGAATTATAATAAATTAGTGTCACTTTTAAAATCAGTTTAACAGGTCCTTTAACTGTCCTTTAACAGGTTTATGCACAAGACAGTCTTATTTTGGATGAGGCAAATGAGTATGAATACTGAAGCGTAATGCCGCATTTATAAGCATTTACTGAAGTAACTGAAGGCCTCAAATTCAGTCAATCTGGAGAGCTGCGTTGCTGTTTATTTTAAGAATTTGTGAGGTTTTGTTGTCTATTACTAAAGAAATCTATTCTGCTCTAGCAGGTTCAGGAACAATCTGATTCGGAAATGAGTGAGGTTCTTCACCTTTATAACAAGCAGAAGGAAACACTGCTTTTTTTATTTGGTTGTTTTGAGGCAGTTTGTTTTGTGATAAAGATGTTAAGGCAGCTGGGCATCTAGCGCATCTCCGCCAAAGTCTGTAACTTTCTCTGGATTTACACAAGTATGAATTCAGGGAGCGGAATTTAATCTAAAACACAGACACTTTGAGCTAAGAACACTTGTGTCTGGCCTGAGACATCCAGGCATCTGACTGTCTTTACTATGAAATTACAAATAATTATGTTATCAGAATTGAAGGACTGTTACAAAGCATTTGTATTGGGATTTACTCGTTCTATGTGTTTGGGAGAGTAGTAGCTTGTATTTTAAGTGAGTTGTGTGGGTTTGATGGACAAATATGTCTCTGTAGAATTGTCTCGTGCCATGCAAAACCTATTTTGCATGAGTTAATTTGATGTTAATGAAATATTTATTGCCTGTGGCATTATTATCCTGTTTTTGAATAGATTGGTAAAACGTTGTAAAAAGTCTTAAAACTCCATTTGCCCAAGGTAGTGCGAAGTTCATGCGTGGTCTGCCTCCCTCTCCCCGCTTTTTCCTTGAAAATGTTTTTAGTACTTGTGCTTGCAGGGTTTTGTCCTGCAAGCTTGTATAAGCCCCTGGATCATCTGCATTTGGGCTGGGGCTTAAATTTGGATTTGTAACAACAACAAATAGAGCCCTAGCTGATGGATGTTGTTGTTGCTTTTCTGAGCTGAACATCTCTGTGTAAATTGTTTTATAGCCCAGGTGTTTTCTAAAGCATTACTTTGGCCTATTCCTGTTTCCTCTCTCAGTTGAGAAATATATCGTCTTACCAGTCTGCATGAATCATGCCCGATGAACTTCTTGTGCTGGGGCACCATCAGACTTCTTTTGGGGGTTAGCTGCATTCCTTGGATGTCAACAAAACATGTACTTCGGGGCAATTTGGGGATTTTTTGCGCTCAGTCTCTTTACTGGGCTTCACAATGCTGGGATGTGGTCTGTTTGCTTGTGCAGTTGCAGTCTGACTGCTGCCACCACAGAAAGGCCCTTCCTTATATCCAGTGTCCCAAACAGCAGTTAGGATACTGCCAGAAGAACCAGCAGGCTTTAGTGCTACTTTAGGGACCTTCTTTGGCTCCCAGAGGTTATGCTGCTCCAACCGTAGCTGTTACAAGAGGGTTGCTTTCTAAGTATGTCAACAAAATATGTCAACACTGTTCTGTGCTATAGCACCTACAAAAATCTGCGTGTAACATTTTTTTATTATTTTTTAAAATTTTATATGTATTCCAGAGAAAGAGATTGTGACCTCTTAGAAGGGGAATTGATGAAGATACTTCAGACAAAGTAACAATCCCCTTCTCCCTCCTTCTGAATTCGCTAGCCCATCTTTTGCAGAATTTTGTGATTGATGCATCTGCTTGTGGAGCTTTGGTGTAGTTAACACCTCTAATAGTTGCTAATTCCTCAATGGTACCAGTCAAGTTGTTCTAGCAATGAATCACACCCTTTTTCCAGTGTAAAAAATGAGTAGATGGTTACTGAATAAACTATATGACT